TCTGTTGGCCAGAAATTTGCGGGGATTGATCCCCAGTGCTGTGAAGAGTGCCCGTTCCCGTTGGCGGGCCTGATCGTAGGTCCTCTTTGGGCACCCGGGCTGTGTTGGACCTGTCCGAACGTCCATTGTCGTGGACTGCGAGGTGCTTCAACGCACTCGCAATGTCCCTGAGCTCCTTCTTGGAGCTCATGCAGCGTCAGAAAATGGGTTGCCGGAGCTGGACCCCGACGTCCCTTGATCGTTGTGATTGCCCCGGCCGCCCTGATAAGATCGGCGACCCCCGCCGCAGTTGCAGCCTCCGCCACCCCGTCGCCGGCCTGTCGAGTTTCCTTGGCTGAACGAATGGGCGCTGCGGGTCTGCTGATACCCCCGCTCGCGGGAGTCCGCCTGGGCGCGAAGGGAGGATTTTTGGATTTGCTCCCGAAGCTTGTCAGTCATGTCCCGCACCAGTTTTGGTCTGTACTCCGACTCCTGTGATCCCAATCGTACGCTGGTTGCCAATGTCTTCTAGGCGTGCTCGAGCGGGGTGCTGGCGTGCGCAGCTTGGAGGCGCCGCTGTGCCAAAGTGACGACTGGAAGGTCGACCGCCTTGGCGAGGGTCGCGCACACTCCCACCAGAGTGCTGCGAACAGGGCCCTGGAGATCCTCCGACTGGGCGAGCTCGATCAGGTGGACAAGTAAGTCGAAGAAGAAGGAAACTGAAGGCGCCCAGTTGGAGTACTCGGCGAAAAAGCCGCTCTTGGGTCCCAGAGCCTGTGCGATCCTCTGGCCGTCGGCAGTGTTAAGGACGTCAAACCACGCCCCAAACTGCGTGCCGTCCGGACGCTTAACCGGGTTCTTACGTGCCGGTAGGATATTGGCCCCGGAGTGAAGGAACAGGCGATCCTCCGTGGGCAGCGGATCTGTAGAAGTGCCGAATTTGGTGGCCAGATCCCGGAGGACCTTGTCCGACTCCGCAGATTGGTCGGAACGGTCGGCTGCTGCCGGCCCGCTGTCCTCAGTTCCCGAAGAGCCCGATGGAAGCGCGTTCAGTAGGGCGCGCAGGTTCTCGAGGATCTCGTCGGCCGTAGGCATTAAGGGTCGATGGAGCGTGTGGCTATAGCCCGCTCCAGGGGGTGCAACACAAACACAGACCGGAGGTTTGGCGCAGCGGATCTTTTCCAAAGATCGGAGTAAAGTTCCCGAGGGACCGGGCTCGCGACACCACGGTGGTGGAGCGAGAAAACGAAGTGAGGTGTGCGTGCGCGCGCTGCCCAAAACGTCCCAGTAACCAGCCAGAAACGACGGGTAGCACGCGCACCCCCAAACATTGCATTTCCAGTGTTGTTGTGACTGTCCCATGGGCGACCCTCGCCCCTGCCGGTAGACAGGTACCAAATCCCAACCAGTATTTTCTCCCGCCCGCCTTCGGGCCTCCCGTAAACTAGCTTACTCCGCAGACTCCGTAACCCACACTTCCGTACGTTTACCACCCTCAAATTCGTTGAGCAGCGCCTCGGCAGTGACATTCCAAGGATATTCTTGACACCAAAACCAGAGAAAAGAGAATTTCGTCTCCGCTTAATACGTTTTCCACAATTATATTTGTGCCAAGACGCCACAGATGACATCCAGGGCCCAAGCGTGACACAAAGAACTACAAAGATGTTTTCAAGTTGACCCAAGCCGCCATGTCATTGAATATTTGATGAAGTTCCAGTGATCTGATATTCGTGTAAGTCCCTTTGATTCCTAGCGCGATTGAAATACCGAAGATAGCAGTACGTGCTATAGCTGGTTCAGAAGTTGTGACCACAAATGGGCAGGATGATCTGATAGCAGCTCTGCAAGATATGGCAGAAAGTGTTACAGTCGTGTGAAAATATTCCATCTCCTGCATATGTGTACCCAGAATATGCAGGCTCCATGCTCAGGACATCCTGAGCTTGGAGCCTGCGCATTGAGGATTACCGGCAAAATATATTGCTCATTTCACACAGGTTCTAAATGGGTTCAAATTGTTTTGCAATGGGGCTACATAGCGTATTCGAAGTATTTTATGCGTTAAAATGTGACAAGGGCACGTTTTCATGATTTGGTTCGTGGTATCATTCTTCTCCTACCAATAAATAAATACTACCTCTATTTCACAAGTCGTGTCCAATCTCAAATTTGCCTGAACGGAGGTCAAAACGTGCGAGTTAGAAAAATTGACAGAAAAAACTTCAAAGCAACATATCAAGAGCTATTTGTGGAAACCTCAAATGTTCTAAATGATGCTGCCTTTCGTGTGATATATCAAGAGGAACTGAAACAAAATTTTCGATTTTTCGCGGGCATTGGATGGGGTACAACATGTTTGCCTTGCACTTAAGAAGAGCTGGATTAATCTGAGCTATCTCTAGCGGGGATCTGTGCTTTGGTGGTTTGGTGCCCACTGGAGATTCGGCTTCTGAAGCCGATGAATCATGATGATGAATCATCCCAAACAGAATCTGCAAGGAAAAGGATGTGAGTTTGCTGCAAAATTTGGGGTAATAACAACAACTGTGTGCACGTGATGGCCGAAGGCCATGAGACATTTTCATCATTGCAAAAGTATCTATCTTTCAGATGTGCCAAGTTTTTGAAAGCCGCACATACTTGCATCAACCAATAAAACGCCTTAGATTGAAGCAAGAATTCGAGATCGGACACGGCTTATGAAACGGGGGTAGTATTATCGATATTCATATCCTTGACACAGAGCCGAAATATTGGCTCCGTAAATCGAATGTTAATAAAAAAAGCATCCGATATTCAGGATATGGGGCCTTCCCCTCCCGCTTCAAACCACCAGCTGAAATGGCGATGGCAACTGCGTCTTTGGTGGCTTAGCCATCAGGACATCAGTGACCAAATGTTTTTGCCACAGTGTTTTGCAAGGCATGCATAGTGCAGGTGCACTACTGCATGTTGTGCGGTGCGCTTGTGAGACACTAAACGTTCGTCACGTCCAACCTCCGCAGCACGGTCCCTTAGCAATGTTGCCGGGATGACTGATCAACAACTTCGAAACGCAAATACCAGGAGAAGGTGGGAAAAAATCCATTGAATACTCAACCAGGCCTGTTGGTTACGTTTACGTTCTTACGTTTAGGTTTTTACGTGCAAAAACGTGAACTTGCAATTGAAGCTATTTTTGTGGCTGTTTTAACGTTTTCGCGGCTCGTTTTGACACCCAGGTTACACGATGAAAGTTTCGTACACTTATCAGTACTCTGTCCCTTGAGCGCCCGCAACACAGCGCCCGCTTCCCACTCGGCAAGGGCCACGAGGGAGTGGAACAGAGTTCGTTTTCTGCCCATTACAGTGTGTCTGGGTGCCATTTCAAGGAGTCTCGAATGTTGCATGTACTGCCCTCATGTACACCGGGGTGCTTTTACGTCGAATTTACGTATTTTTGCACCTTTTTATGTGCAAAACACACAAAAACTATTTCACGCATAAAATCGTAAATACGATCTGTATTTGCAGCGTAAATGACAAGCATGTACTCAACCACGATGCAATCAAGGCGTGATTCATTGAAGCACTGCCAGACAGGCTTCAAACTCATTAACATCATTCTTTGGGTATCTGCTCCCTTTCTCACGCCCCCAGAACTGAAAACCTAAACGCGCCAGAACTCATGGCAACGCTCTCACAAGACTTTCTGAATCTCCGAAATAGCCCAATCATGCATAAAGGTGTATTTGCATCGCCCCTGTTTGGCTTTCGGATCGTCGAGGCTAGGAGCACGTTGATCCTGGAGTTGTATTCATTGTGTGAGCGCCTTCATTAGTAGAAGCACAATTTTTACGATGCCGACATCGATACCATTTGACACTAATTAGTGCGCCCACAATGACTGCAATGGCGTAAGAGTGGCTATCATGGCACATATTTGTCAAATAGGACCTCCACAATTGAAATCGTGAAAGGTTGTTCTCCACAAGTGCTTTGGACAAGCAGTGCGGGAACCCTGGGTGAAGCTTTTGAACGGCAAAACGGGGCCCCCAACCACCCCACACAGTCCCCAACTTCGCACACCGCAAATTCCAGCCTCAATTCACAACCTGACCTAAGCCCTCCACGCACAGTTTAGAACCTAATTTTCTCCCCTCAACTTAGGACCTAGATCGCCCCCCTGCCCATCCCCTCGACCGGGCACCCTGCTGCCCCAGCCTCGAGCCAAGCAGCCTTCGCCATGGCATCCTGGGCCTGGCCGCGAGGGCGCTGTCCTCCCCGGCGGCCATTGCCCGCCGGGTGGTGCGCGCCGTGCGCAAGGCGCCCAAGCCGCCCCCTCGCTCCCAGGTGCGTCGATCCTCCTTTGTTATTGAAGAGAGCCGATAGTACAACGCAACAGAATGCAAACCGCAGCAGAATTTGAGCCTTGACAATGTGTAGCTGATCTTGCGAAGGGCGGCGCTCCAGAACCGGGAGGACCTTGCACGCGAGTGTGTTGATCCGCGTTTTGATTGCCTTTGCAAATTACGAGCAAAAGCAAAAGCAAAGCCGAAAGCCGCAAAAAAACAAAAGCGAAAGCCCTTGCCAAGCAGAAGCCAGGAAGCAAAAGCAAATTCCCGCCCTCTCCCGGGCGCGTCGATCTTTGTTTTGTTATCGAAGAGAACCGTTGGTACACTGCAATGGGGCACGTCGGCCCTGCACAGTGGAACACCGAAACAGAATTTGAGCCTTTGCAGTGTGCGCTGATCCTGCAAAGAGCGTGTCTCAGGCCTGGGAAGGTCTTGCACACGAGTGCATTGATCCCCGCTTTTGATTGCCTTTGTCAAGCAAGAGTGGAAGGAAAAGCAAGGCCAAAAGCCACAAAGAAAAAAAACAATGCAAAGTAAAGCAACAATCTAAAGGCAGCAGCCCTTGTACACAATAGCAAAGGGAGAAGCAAATGCAAAAACCAGATCGACAATGCAGAAGCAAAGCTCTTGCACAGCAAAAGCCCATGCACTAAACTGGCGATTTCGGGCGACTTGCAGGTCTCAATGCCGGTGAGCGGGCTGGACGAGGCCATGGCACAGTCAGTGCTATTTGCGCTGAGGCAGGCTGCGGGATCTGAGGAGGTGAGCAGCGCCTGAATGAGTTGGGGATTGACTTGATTGGAATAGTTTGTTCTACTTCTTTGTTACGAAGATTTCAGGATTGATCCCTGGGGGAGCACAGCGCTGATAATGGGAGGTGGGATCGCCATTGCTGGCAACGTTTGATTGTGTGGAGCGATGGTCGATGATGAGGTGCTGGAGTGTGCTGTTGTGTTTCCTTGTCAATGTTAACATTGTTGGGCTGAGTGTCCAAGTTGGGATGTTCATTGCATTGCCATCAAGGCATGTCAGTCCCTGCTGTTCTGCAGCCATGCTATGCTAGGAGACCCCGGGATGTGGGATTGGAGAACCACAGTTGTACATTTTGTACATTGGTTAGGCGAAGTGCAGGAATGTGATAGTAGTGCACCTCCTTTCCGTGATGGCAGGTCTTGAAAATGGACATGGGTCTGGGACATGTCGCTGGAATGGTCCAAGTGACTCATTTTTTTTTCAGTCCCGGAAACAATGAGAGATGCTCACAGTGAAATTCAGAGATATTGAGGGATCGTTTTTGAATGGCATGTTGCACGCATTGCCTTTGTTGCCAACGACATTGCACGGAGCTCAGGTATCGAAAAGTGCCTCTATTCCTCAGTTTCAAACTCCCCAGGTGCTCCACCCAGAGCTCATCGTCCGAGCTGGTGGTGATTGTATATTGTCTCCCTGAACAAAAAGACGCACAATTGTGACCTCCATGTCTGCATGCGTGCACCAAGGCTTGGCTTGCACAGATCAGGCAGGGCATTAGGGTCATGGGATGCCATTTTTGGATTTGGTGCTGATGACTTTGAGCACTGGACATGAGCACTCACTGTATTGGTGGCCGTTGAATCTCAGTCACCATTCTCTGACTTGTAATAAGGCCCCAGCCCACATGTTGGTTCCCTTGAATGCAGTGGTGATGCAGCTCATACAGCACAGGATGCAGTGCAGGAATTGCTGACAAAGGATTGATGAACCTTGTCAGGGATCCAGGATATCATTTGGCATCAATGGGTGTGAACGGCTATTGATGGATATCTAAGCTACTGATGAGATGCATCCGATTGACCAGTGAAAGTGTTCCCTGATCAATGCTGTATGTAGAGCAGCCATGGGGACTTTGTCCGACTGCTATTGCTTCTGCCTAAGTGGGACAGAACATTGCGCATGCGCTTGTAAGGCAAATGATGTACACAGCTTCACCTGCAATGTTCTTTCCAGAATGTTTGTTTTATCCCCACTCTCAGCAAATCCTCGATGACATCGTTGCACATTGAGAATGGCCACATCTCTCAAGTACCTCCCTGCATTGCTATTGTGCCTTGGTATGACAACACTGCATGTTTTCTTTCTGGATTGTGAACTTCACTTTCCAGAAGCAGCTCGGACCACCACCATCAGTAAGCAAACATTGTTTGTCATTGTGCTGATGGTGTCTGTTTTTGCCTTGCTAAATTATCTCCACACAAGCAAGACATTTGCTTAAAGTCCAACACATGGTGTTTTTGCAGCTTGACGAACATTGGACTGGTTTTGCCTTACAATTGCAACTTGCTGATTTGTATATTATTTGCCATAAATCGATGCAGTGCGAAATTCACTTGCAGAACCATAGCCGGGTAGAACCATCATCCCAAAGCAAAGAAATGGGCATCTGAAAAACACTGGTACACAACATCGGTACGCAATATCCCTATCCCTTGCAAGTATAGCATCCTATTGATGAATCCATGCATTCATACTTGGCATGTGTTGGAGAACAAATCAACCTGTCTGATGTCTTGGTGCACGGTACTGCCTTTTGGGTGCAAATGGCACTGCAATCTCCTGAGAAATACCATGTAGCCCCAACAGCAATCTGCATATTTGGCGGTGTTGACCAGATCCTTGACTGTCTCTTGTGAACAGCTTCTATTGTATTTCACCTTGCTTTACAGTTCGAGTGCGTGCAGTGTAGACTTGTGAGAGTTGTGAAAGAGCAAGGTATGGTTGGGGAAGTCCCTGATGCCAACCAAGAAGTGCAAGGTGTGCCGGTATTGAATTACCCTGAGTAGATCATGTTCAGGATAATAGATAGGAGACGAGAAACAATACTGAGGATAAAGAAGCAATGGATGCTTGTGCTAAGACGAGGAATTTTTGCAGGTAGCAAAGGTGCCAGTGTTTTGGCTGGCAGCACTGGAGCTTGCACAGATCGCCTCTGACAAGTAGGTGCTCAGGCTGCTGAGATGAAAGTTCCTCCCACCTCGTGGGGACCAGGTTTCACAATGCAATTTCATTTGTGCCTGTTTCTGTGCTGCATTGAATGGATGATGAATCTGAACCAGTGTCATGTCATGTCAGTCTTGTTGTTAGTCACCTCATATCACCCTTGTTGTGTGTCATGTCATGGCCTGTCATGGGCCACGTCATATCATTCTTGTCATGTGTCATGTTGCTCATGTCACACGTCAAGGCTTTTGAGCCATGACATGAGTCATATCACATCAGTCCTGTTATGTGCCTTTGCCAGGACGGCACCCAAAGGGGTGTCATCCCACCTGTTAGAATCCACATGAAGACATGCTCAGTTGATCTGCTCTTTGCTGTCAGAATGCAGCCATCACGGTTCAGATTATGCCCACGTTGTCATCATCTTTTCCTGTTTTTGTCTTTTCTGGAAGCAACCATCACAGCTGTGTGCATGTCCCAGCGCACCTGAGACTGCTGTTTGTTCTCACAGCAAAGTGTTGCATCTCCTGAATGACTTCAAGTGCCACTCTCTGCCAGTACAATGTGCAGTTCATGGGGTTGCTGTGCGTTATGTTGTGTTTGGGAACACATGACCTGCAGAAGTTTAGCTGGTTTTTGCAGACGTTCTTTGTTATCTGTATGCAGCTGTAGTTTGATAACCAAGGCCAGTAGTTCAGCAGCACATGTACTTCAGCAGAAGTTTAGTTAAGGAGGATGTTGCTTTGCAGCATGCTGTTCAGTCTACGCAAGTCATGTCGATGCTCCAATGAGAGCCTTGCAGTACTTTTGCTGGGGTACTTCAGCACTTGTCCCTTGGCATTAGTAGTTCAGCAGAATTTTCACAGCAATGTGTCATTTCCATTGCTTACTTTTGTCAAAACACATGACTAGACAAGTCCCTTGCACCTGGGGAGGTGATAAGGTGTTTGACAGAAGCATCTGTGGTTCAACAGCTGCACTTTTGGAAGTTGTACTTTATTTCGTGCCTTCGCAGTGCTACGTTAGCTCACGTGGGCTAGCTATAGTAGTCTAGCTCTTTGGTCTTTTAACAAGTGTGCTTTAGCATACCCCTTGTGCTTTGTCAGCAGTGCTCTCCCAGTGCTCTGACAGTGGTGCTTCAGCGTCTGTACTGTAGCCCATGACATCCAGCTGAACAGCCAATGTGGGCGTGCAACTCCAGGCTGCTGCGAGACATGGAGCAGCTGGAACGGGCCCTCCAGTACTGGCAGGGCAGCGGCAAGGGTGGGGGCCACGTAATCATCATGTTCCTTCGCCGGGGTCCGGTTGTCTTGTTCCGGCAACTCAAGGCAGCGCTGCAGGTGGACAATGAAGTGCCGCCACCCATCTCGCCTACTGATATGATCGAACAAAGGGTGAGGTGGGACACTGTGGTGGATCACTCAGTGATGGGCTATCACTGGGTGATGAGTACTTTGTCACTTTGTGAATGACAGGCTATTCCCAATGCTCAGACAAGCCTCAATGACAATGAGACTCAATCTTTCAGGAGAAGGGGCACAAGGCTTTGTACTTCATAGTATTTTGACGTGCCAATGTTTCCAGGATCAATGAGCCTGGTTGTGATAGACAGTGGCTCCCCTAATTGTTATCAGAAACAGGTATCAAGAAAAGAATGGTGTGACAGTATACTGTCAGCTGTTGTGTCCAGGCTAGAATGCACAAGCTACCAAGCCCAATGGCTGCTTCACTGAAAGGGGGATGGACTGTTGTTGCACCCCATCACAATCCTGAATCATCATTGTAAAGTGGCACAGTGCATAGGACAGCATGATCCTCGGCGATTTTCTGCCTACCAATCCACAAGCCATATCACAATCGCAAAGTACATACTGTATGATTGTTCAGTATTGAATACACCAATATCTATATCAAAGGTTCAGGATGACAACCATGATCTCCTTGCTGTCTTCTGGGTGTTACGCTACTCTGCATTTCTTTCAAGGTGTCACAAGCCAGTGGACAGGGTATTCTGGCAACAGCAAACGCTGGGTGCAAAGGTCGCCAGTGACGTTTGGGAAAACATGATATAACCACATACAATAAAGTGCTAACCCATTAAACCATGTACCACTTGTTTCCCAAAACAGTCGCTGAGACTCTTATCGCGTTCCTTGTCGTGGAATGTGTGATGATTCTCAAGTTTACTGGCTGATGCGACTGTGAACAGTCACAGGCCTGCCCGCTCTGCCCTCAGAGCAAACTGCATGCAATTCTGCATGGGACAAATCATCCTAGCTTAACACCCAATATTGAGGATGTTATTAAGGTGACATATATTAGACTGCTCCGCCTTGGTTTTAGTAAATTCTTGCCGCCTTGATCAGGTCGTGGTGCTGAGGGCCATGCTCACTATGGCGGCGGAGGCTTTGGCAGAGATATCTCTTGCAGCCGGTGGGGAATCAGTCATTCCTGCTATCGTTCATTAATCCCTTAGTCAAGGAATTATGCACTACGATATATGAGTATGATTATATAACTGTACTAATGATGTACTTTAAGGGTACAACAATAGTACTTCCTCCGGCCCAAATTAATTGTCGTCTATTTAAAAGAAAAATTCGTTACAAAGACAGCCTGAAAAACACAAAACAAGGTCAGAACCGAAAAGGTTGGATCTCAAAACACTTGACTACCAATTTTCAAGAAAAATTGTTCAGCCCTACCCCCTCCGAGAGGCCCCCAGAGAAGCCTTGCCCAGTCCAAAAATGTGCATTCACATTCCACGTCCATGGAAGATCCCAGCGCATCTGAGCCGCTCTTGTCCATGCGTGTGCCATGGCATAGTCATTGCCACCGTTGCAACCAAGCATGGCATCCATCACATGGAAGAAAGCTTGCCAGACATGCTCAAGCGTGCCTAGATCTTGATTGTAGAGTGCCATTGTCACGAAGTCGACAATATCTTGGAGATCCCCCATCCTTGATTTTCGATGCATGGACCTGCAATGAGCGAAAAACCCCAAAGGTCCAGGACGTTGAAGTTTAGACTCTAGGCTGGCTCCTGCTTTAAAATAATGTTGTGACCCTGCTTGGAGCATTCGGCCTCAATAGATATCTGAATCGAGAATTTAGTCTGCGGCTTGGCCAAATCCACTTGGATAACAACATACAGTTTCAAGTGCTTTTAAGCACTTCCAATTGCTTGGAAGAACTTTTCCACCATAAGATCCTTCCACCCATCCCCATCAACTGAAACCAACTTCAATTCTGCCTCACTTGCAGACCAATTCTCGCTAGATCGAACCACAATGCCCTCCTTTACAAAGGACCATATTCCAACAAGTTCACTGAAGTAGGACCCGTTTAATTGACAAGGAGGCCACCCTACGGCAGCTAGATCCATAACTTTCTTCGTGAAAGTATTGCTTTGTGCTTTTGGAGCAACCACATGCCCATCCTCCAGCAGCACCCAAACTTTATGGGCATCTTTCATCACATAGAGCCACTTCTCATTGATATGGGTCGTGTTTGCGAAATCCACAAATTGCCACTTGCACCCAACTTTGCAAGTGTGCTCTACAATCTATCATAGCCTTGCAACTCTCTACTCTTGAGAGACAAGGCTGTATCCATCGAATGGTTGTTTTTGGCCCTAAGCCTTTCAAATTCTAAAAAAATGTCAATTTTGCCATTCTTGTCCTCAAGGCCATTGCCTAATTATCCACGCCCAGCTGCGCTGATGCTCAACACCTTCTTTTGCACCTCGTGCAGTTCTTGAGAGGCCTCCCGCAGTTGCCCGACGGTGACAATGGAGATCCAAAACCCCCTGGCCCAGAAATCTAGGCCCAAAGTCCACTTCCGATCCATTGGGTCGTTCTCACATCGCAGCCAGATGCCATGGCAAATTCGTCGATCAGCCCCTTTGGAGCTTGTTTTCTGTTGCCCTGCCTCTTCGTTAAGACTGGCCCCACCTTCAGTCTTAGCGGTGCGGCTAGTTCCTTATAGGTGGATTGCTTCGCAGCCGCGAAGGCGTGCCCCTCACCATCGCAAAAAACTGGCCATTGTCGCCACAAGGCCCCAAACTGGCCGTTTTCTGGCCAGAGACCTCTTGCTACAAAGTATGGCCAAATCTTCAACACTTAATAGATTGCCTTGAAATTCTTATAGCATACTCCCAAAAACCACAAGCACAAGTTTAGTGCAATTTTATTTAATATTGGCATTGGTAAACTGGAGAAGTAACGCCCCGAATTCATGGATGGCAATTAATTTGGGACCAAAAAGTATTTATGAATAACAACAAGTACAATGGATTGTCCTACAATAGTAGTTGTAATTATCATTATAATGACAACACCTTCTTGTTGCTCTTGTGTTCATCAGATGGGATCAAGGCACTGCTAAGAATGCACGATCTGGTTGGTTTTCAGCATGGTTTGCAATGAATATTATCAGTTGCTAGACATCCCTTATTTTTGCTGCTTGCAATTTTTAGCAATTGAAATGTTGACGCTCAGTACACAGAAGTGCATTGTTGTGTCAGAAGGAAGTGATAATGTACTGGCATTCCCACTTTGCCCGAAGCATGTCATCTGTCTGCACAACGCTTTTTGATCTGGCTTATCTTGTGGTCCTCTTTCTCCTGGCGTTGATTTTATGAATAGACATAGCACACATAACAGATTTAACTAATTCAAGTACATTTTACAATTGAAGTAGTCTACATGTTTCAAATATGCCTCATTCAAATGCATGTTGGTTGCTTATGTTGCATATGTGTTGCATTGAATGCCATGCTTGTTGCATTGCAATCGGCGTTCAGAAACGTGGCCATCAAGTACACCATTAATATGCCTTTGATCTCCTTGGTCATTCTGGCCAGGTGGGCTTCGGCTTGGGTTCAAAGTCAAGGAGAATGAGCTGGAATCGGTGGATGGGAGCACGCAGCCCTTGGGGCCCCACCTGCAGGTATTATTAGTTTTGCCACACTTCCTTCAAAAGGCGTTTCTAATTTGACGTGCTGGATCTGAACTAACTTTCGCAAGATTGATCGAGTTTGCTGATGCTCTTTCGGAAAGTTGATGCAGTGTTCAGCACTTCCTAATCCTTGGTTGTCCCAATTTTCCTCCGAAACGGTGCTGGAACTCGATTTGTGCTAGAAGGCCGAGGGCTGCAAATTCTCTTTTGGAAAGTGGTGCATAGTACTTAACAATCCTTGATTGTCCACTTTCACCTGAAAGGATAGTCCAGTGAACTAGTTTGTGCGAGATAGCCAAATTTTGCTGACAGTTCTGATATAGAAAAATTCGTGCAAAGATCAATACTTTATGATACTTGCTTGTACCACCCACATTGTTTCTGAAAGGGTGTTCCGACGCTCGTAGGAAGAAGGTGCTCTTGTGGAGGCGGGGGCCCGCGCCAGCCGGGACTGCCTCACTCGGGTTGCCAATGCTGTGGACCTCCTGCAGGACAAGGTCGAAGGCCTGCAGGACTTTGAGACGGCCGTGAGGTGGGTGGGCGATGCTCTATCGGCCTTTCATGTGTATTATAAATTATTGTTGTACACAGTGAATGACATATACTGCACGAATGTGTAAACAGATAGTGTATGCATGACATGTAACAATGCATCTGCTTTGGTAAGCATATGTCCAATGTAGAGAATGTGTAATAATGTATGGACATATACAATGCACTACTGTAACACTTAGATGCCATTGACATCTGGCTGCATGTGGAAAATGTGTGCCAATGTAATTGCAACTGGTGCCAGGACTTTCCATAGGTTTCACTGCAAAGGGAGCCCAGGGCAGTTTTGTTCCACATAATAACGATGCACGATGTATGATGCACTGTATATTATATACGATACACGATCGGTTAATTGATGTGCATAGCATGGACACCTGGTCATACTAAGGTGTGCATGATGTGCAAAGTGCTTTGTGTGATGCAAGTACTTCTGTCGGCACTGTTCATTCGACGCGATATGCAGTGTGACTGCTGTCATTGACACCATACCATAAACACATATAATACTACTTGTAGAACTTTCAGAGTATTTTTACAAAGTACTATGTTCAGTACATTTTGTGCTTGAGTTCACCTTTGTAGTACTTTCCTTTTTCGTAGTCAGTATTTTCTATACCTACTGACACTGGTAGTTTCGAACAGCCACCTGCAGAGCTTTGCCGTGAAGGCGACACTGGGCAAGCATGAGGGGAGCCACCCAGGCGCCAGCATCCGTTCAAGGGACAGGGACACGGGGCCCAGACCCGCGGAGAGTGTCAGGACCCCAGGTGAATGACTGCAAATATTTATTCATTCCAAAAATTAAATGCTTTGGGTTTGTGGATTCTAAGCATCGTGCCGATTTCAATGCATCTGAGAGTACAGGTTCCGCCATGGCTGCAAACTTTTCTTCCCATTTCAAGAATTTGAATATTGTACACCTTTGGATTCTAATTGTGATGAAATTTCCATCACACGTAGAGAATGCAGTTGCCACCAGGGCTGCAAATGTCTTGTCTATCCGAACGTCAGACGAAGGCCTGCTGCCGATTTTCGTTCTTGCAGGTGCCGAAGAACTGGAGGAGGATGTGAAGCGTCTAGAAGAACTCCTAGACGTTGAAATCAGCTCGGAAGGCCATCGGTATGCTGAAACAAACTCTCTACGCGGTTTGGTTTTGACTTGCTGCAGTCTGATATCACATGCTCAACGGATGAATTTGGAACAGCTTTCCTGATTCTAAAGTCGATCCTGGCGCATTTGTGCAACGCATCTGAGTATTCGATGTGCAGCATCAAGTCAGTGCTAAGTAGGCACAACAAAGTGCCACCAAGCATAACAGCGCTACAGCCGCATTAGTTGAATGTTGTTCATGTTTGAATAGGTGCATGCACCAAGGATTTGAACGCGCTAGTTTGCGTCTGGCGTTGGCTCAGGGATTTGGCTTTGGTCATTGACCTTATGCAATTGGATGCTTTCCTGTATCCAATTTGGACCCTCTTGTACCACAACTAAAATTGTTTATTGGGAGCTGCACATGACTTGATACTTCGCAGTACTGCACCACATTTGCGTTTAAGGGGGATGAGTTCCCAAAAGAATGTATTGTTGGACGCTTTCAAGCATCGCCAAGATTCTCGCCGATGCTTGCTTAACAATTTCCGTCAATCTGCCCCAGATGCTTCAATGCAGCCATGGTAGAGTCTCCAAGATCCGCGCCGAGAGACAGGACGCCAGGACATCCAAACGGACCCGTGGAACATTTCTGTAAATATATCTGAAGATACTTCCGCCGACATTTTACTAGGTGCTGTCAATCTGGCCCTGATAAATTCCAAGGATACTGGTATGACTAAAAATTCCTTATCCCAGGCCCACCAGCACGGCCATGGAAGAGGCTTCGTGCATCCATGCCGAGCATCGGGAGGGCATTGTCAACATTCCAGAAAGTACAGCCATGGTGGACATTACATGGACACTTTACAGATACTTTGGTAGACACTTTCGACCCACCCACAACGTTTCCGTGGATGCTGGCATGACTAAATTTGCCTTCTGATCGCAGGTCCGTGAGTAAGGCCATGGCGGAGGCCGCCCGCATCCATGCTGAGCGTCGGGATGGCGTTGTCAACATCCCAGACTGGACCCGGAGGCCCAGCAGCCTGGAGCGCCGGTGGCTGGAGTACTCCCTGGCGGGGCTGGTGGCCGTGTGGGGCGCCTCGTGGCTGCTTCGCCATAGCCCGCTGTGCGGCAGCCGCGACTTTTACGACTGGGGCAACGCGGTGAAGTTCGCGGTGGCCACGCATGTGGTGACGCCACTCAGCAACCTGAAAGACGAGGTTCTGGTGAAATTCCGCCGGTGAGCCTCCCCGGGTGTTGGTTGATCCTTTTTGGTCTTTTTGGTCGTTGTTTGGTCTTGTTTTTGGGCCTTGTTTTGTGATCTTTCGTTTGTCGTTTTTTTCATTTTGTCGTTTCGTACTTGCTTGGTCATTTTTGCCATTCTTGTCATGTTTGCCCCTTCTTCTCGTTTTAATGACACGGAAAGACCCCCCTATCAGAAAGAGCGTTATAAGAAAAGATTGCAAGGTGCCGAGATTTGTACCGCTCAACTGAAACAGGGTCATTTGTGGTCAGCATTTAGTCATTCTTGTCCAGATGTTGACCCAGTACTTGGAGGAAGAAAATGGCGTACGTCACTTTCTTGCATTGGATGTGGTACTTGCAGTGTTGGTTGATGCTAGAGACAAAGCAGAACGTGGCTTTCGTAAGTGTACGATGTGTGGAATTTCTTGAACTGAACCAACAACACGATAGTCGTGCTGGCCACGAAAACAGTAGCGTTGTCTGCATCTGTGGATTGACAGCGCTTTAACCTAACAGGCAAAGTACAGGCGAATTGTGTGTGCAGGTAGGCATGAATTGCTGATTTAGATTGACACAATATTTGCACATTCCTTGCCTACTTTGACTGGGTGATAAATGTTTTGCTGCGCATATGGTGTGCAAGCTTTTGATGAATACAGCGACAGTACAACATCACTACACTAAACATAATCATCCAAAACTAGCTACATGTCATCAGCACCGCCATTGCTGCCAATGGCAGTAACAATAGCAGGTTGCGCACACATTGGAAAAATCCTCGACTAGCTAAAAGAAGTCAGATTTCTTTAACAGTAATGATTCAGTACTGTCAGTGCTAATTCAGTGAATGCCTTTTGCAGCACCGGCTCGAGCGTCGTTTCAAAAGAAGATTTTGAGACCAGCAAGCGCTCCCTTTACCGAATGCTCAAAGACTTCGAGAAGGACTACAGGGACAAAGTGCGCAAGGCGCACAAGGTGGGCCCCAAGCATCAAACGAGTCGGTGCTTTGGCAGCACTGACCGCTGCACCGACCACGGTACTCTAGCAACATCTTAGCAACAGTGGCTGCAGTAGCTTATCCGCCCTGGGGCTGTGTGCAGCCGTCAGCACAAAAGTACGCTAGTTTGTGCAGAAACTTATCCATGGATACTGAGCGACGGGGGAGGGGGGGGCCTTAAGTGTGTGGCGCGTTGGTGCGCACAGTATGGGACCTTAAGTACCTGGGGTGTTTGGGGCCAACGTGCTGCAGTTTGCTTCAATCGCTTCGACTTTGGCCAAAGCTTCTGGCCACCCTTGAACACCCTCTGAACACACTTTCAGGAACAGGCGGCACAGCAAAGCATTGCAAAGTGCCAATCTCCGTATCGCTTTCAAATGAAGTGCTGGATTGGCAATTCTTAGAACTCTTTGACTCAGCACCACTTTAGCACCACTCTGGGTTGGCAGCACTTTAGCGCCACTTTAACTTTGCACCTTGAAGATGTATTGATATGTTGATAGTATATATAAGAAACACTTATTTGGAATGTTGTGCCCCGCAGGCTGTGGAACTCCCGAGCGACACTCCCAAACAGGCAGTTCAGGTGGTCGAGGGCATGGAGACGCTCATGCGTGCCTACGAGATGGAACTCAAGTCGCCCGTATGGAACTTGGTCAATGGGTCGCTCGCCAGAGCGCTGCTGATCCAGGTGATCTTGGAGACCAAGCGGCGTCACTCATAAGTAAATAATCAAAGAAGTAAGGAAAACGTAAAAACAAAAATGTTCATGAACCTGGTTCCTGGTGCGCGAACAGGTCCAAAAATTGAAGGTGGACACGGAAGCCGCGATGTTGGAGCTGGACCAGATCCTTGAGGCCAACGAGCTGAACGTGGCGCTTATAGCCGCCATCCCCGCCCTCTTCCTGGCGGGCAGCGCCGCGTATTGGCTGCTCAGCGTCATCAACAGGGCGGGTCCCGACCCCAGAAAATCGCTGGTGCCGTGCAGGTGAAGTTTCTCTTGCTAGTAAACTATAGGCAATTGCAGGCAGTGGTTGCCCATATTCCAGGCAGTTTCTGACGGTGTTAAATGGACGGATAACGTAAATGTCTAAATGGAGCAAGTCACACTATGGCTGCTCAGCGCCATCAACAGGGCTGGGCCCAACCCTAGAAAAATGGTGGTACCGCGCAGGTGGAATGTGCGTGCGAAATTATTTAATGTTGCAAAAATACAATAATATCGGTCAAAATACACGGTTTTGAACAGTGCAAAAGTCGCGCAAACCCATGCAGAACGTGCAAAGATCATGTACACTCATTTGTTGATTTTGGTCCTATTTCTGTACAATAAGCACACTAATTTACGCGATTTTCAATGGTGTTACACGGTACATGATAGAAAACCGTGTGTTTGGCCTGTTTTCTGCTAGTGTGGCCCGCTATATCACACTTGTACTTAAGTATTGCCAGCTCCACATTCCACGCACATGTGGCTGGCCAAATGGACAGACAAATGTAATAAGTCAAATGACGCAAACCGTGCAATCGCGCGCTCTGGCTAGTTAATTGAATGGGGATAAACATCGTGTTCTGTGCAGCTGCTCGCTGGGGTAACCTTTTTGGGCGAGGCGGACGCAAGACTCACAATGCCTTAAATACCATGCCGCCAGAATTTTAAGTATTGGAAGTACATGGCAGTCTTCTAGAAAGGGGCCCAATGTTCACACAATGTTGAAATAATAATAGCTTGGAAATGATTTGGAAGACGGGAGCAATTCTCATGAACCGCACGTATGGTATCATTTCAAACGGTGACTAATAGTCACGGCCCGTCACTGCACCGTGACAACAGAAACGTAAGCGGTGCTTTTTATATAGTTCGAACGGCGTATTGCTTGCTGAAGTCCGGCAAGGGAAAGCGGTGCTCGACTCGGTACTTCGAGCTGTACTTTGTCATTGCGTCCAGAAAGTGTTGGGGCGAACGTGTTACACATTGTATCACTGAAGCCCTGCAGTGGCAGCGCAACTACATGGCAGATGGAGAGGCAGATCTCAATGATGTTTGTGCTTGGCCACAGGCTGGTGCAATTTTGTGGCGTGTGTCAGCAGTCCCAGTCACTATTTGAGACAGTACTGTGGCAGTCAGCCCACTGTTCGTTCAGTTCTTAAAGTTGTGTGCTGTGTTGGCTTGGTGTCCCAGGCTGGGGCTTGTGGAGCTTGAGCGAGCGTTGAATCGGAGCAGCATGGTCGGCATGACACCGGAGGCGCGGGGACTCGTCATTCTGAGAGCGCATAAGGTGGGTTGATAGCCTTTGAAGCGTAATAAACGCCCTTAAAAGTATGCAGCAGAACAATATTTAACGACAGTATTGTGCAACATGACAAATCACAAATGGGCGCAGTAGGTTGGAAATTTGCCATTTGCCATTCTTGCAGTGGTCAGATGCAAGTGGTTCCTTGCTTTAACGCTACTGAAGTGTGGCTTATGTATTGTGATTGCCTGTGCTCGATTCTGTGCCAACTATCGATGCCTCCCTGATGGCGCACGCCTTACCCATCGTTGGTTGGTTGTTGCATTGAAAATGTACCCTTACCATCTGAATGACCCGACAATGGCGGCGTTGGACCTCTCAGGCGTCCCTGAGACGCCGCTGGCTGTAACGGGGCAATGTCCAGTTCTCGGGCGACGTCGCAGGATTTCCCCGGCGCCGGGTGGGGGCAACATACACTGGTAAAAATTCGACCATTTTACACGGTGTACAATTGGACAAAATCGTGTTAATATCATGTACAAATCGGGTGCTTCAGAGCACGATTTTACACGATTGCTATAATCGTGTAGTTTTCAACCCTGTGTAGTACACGAAAGTGGTCCACTTTACCACCATGGACAACACGACAAAGCGCACGGTTTTACACGATTTCAACAGTGTACCAGCGGCAAATGTGTACTTTGTGATTAGTACACGATCGGTACACGATGGTCACACGACTTTTACACCATTTTGACACGCGCAACACGGTACACGAATTTCTGGACCGTGTACTTTCGCCGATTCTTTGCCAGTGATAGCCGCCGCTTGGCGTGTGGCGTCGGTTGGGGAACTGAGGGCCCTGCCAATGCTGTCGATGGCCTCGACAGACCCCTCGTCCCCATTGCGACAAATCCCGCCAACGCTGCTGACGCCCATCAATCCTTTAGCGACGTCATTGGGGGTCACGTCGCCATCCCCAGCGGCGTTGCCAGAGGTTGGGCCTTTTCTCATGTCCAACTTCTGAAGTGCTTTTTGTCGTTTTTTTGCCCCTTGAGTTGCTGCGCTCGGTGCTGCTCTAATGTTAATGAACTTTTCAATCTGGTTTTCACAATGTATGACTTGCGGTTTAGTAACTGCTGTAATCTCTGGTGTTCTGGCGGCCCAAGTGTCGTAAGCTGCCACTCAGTTCACCGCCAATGGGTCTGCTATGAGTGCATCCTGCACACTGTGATCACCTGTACTCAATAGTCCAGCACAATTCTGTTGCATTGAATAACTTAATGATAATCATTAATGAATGATTATAATTTATGAGTAACTTATAAGTTATTCAATGCAGTACAACTGTGCGACAATCATTGTCGCTCAAGTGTCCCATTCACCGTTGTTTTCACCGCTCGGGTGTTTGTGTGCTGCCACTGAGCGTACCAAAGTCGCAACGGCACACATCGCGATCATGCCTGCCCAGTATGATTACTCATGCTCCCAGAGTACTTGTTTTATTGGATTTATCAGTTGAATTTCAGTAATTTAGTAAATGCGTAAATGCTCTAATCGCTGTTGCTTCACTGCCCAGGCATGCGCGAGCTACCACTGAGCATGCCAAGAATGCAACCACGCACCTCATAATCACACCTTCCTGTATGATTACTCATGCTCCTCAGAGTCCTTGTTTGACAGGAATGAACAGTTGAATTTCAGTCATTTACTCATTGCCTTGTCATTTTCATTGCCCAGGTGTACGTTAGCTGCCACCGAGTGTACCAGGACCGCGACCGCACCTCCGAGCAGTCGGAGTGGCCGACGCTCGAGAAGGAGCTCATCGACCTGGCGCGGCCACTGCCGCCCGAAAAGAAGATCAAGATCTGCGAGCGCATGAGGACAACCTACACAATCTTCCAGGCTTGATGCGATCTCTGGCAGTTACTGACAGATTCTGGCAATTTCTGGCAACCACTGTCAATCCCTGGCAATTTGTGGTGACTTTTGGCAGTTTCTGGCAGTTTCTGGCGAACCTCCGTACCTTAGCAGCCACCAGGGATAGCGCTAGTGCACGATGCGGCGTGCTGCAGTGCACCGTGCTCAGATTGCGGCAGTGGAAGGATCGAAGTGCTCGGATCGGGGGCTGAAGAGTGCGTTTTGGAAATTGAGGGATTCGGTTTTGAAGGAGAAAATATTCAGCAGAATATGGATTTATTCTGAGGTCGCAGAATCGGTTGGCAAATGGGACAAAGTGATTTGGGGGGCGGAAAAGATACGGGGTGGGATATGGATTGATCCTGAGATTGGATTGTCGGTCTGGATATCGGGAGAATCGATTTGGAGGGCGCAAAAGATGTTCGCTAAGATCTGGATTGATCAGGAGATTGGAAAATTCGTTGGAAATCAGACAGATCGATTTGGAGAGCAAGAGACATATTTGGTGACAGGAGGATCGATGCTTGGTCATTGATGTCGATGGCAGCAGTGTTCAAAGCGACGGACTAGGCGACGACCAGAGCCGCTCTCGCGGACTGGACTCCTGATACCTCATGATCCGGATGATCCAGATTCGATGATCTGGACGAGCCTGGCAGACAGAGCCTGATGATGAATTTGACCTGGATTCGTTGAGCCCAGGCGATGAGAGCGAGGTCATCAACGCCATGAAGTTGCACAGCAGGTGGCAAGAAGGTGACCGTCAGCTTCCTGTTTTGCGGTGTCCATGGCATGAACGAGGATCATGCTGTTTGTTGGCTGCTGATGGATTATATGGTCGGGATGGAAGTCAGGAAGTGGGAATTTTGTGCAGGTCTGAGGTAGGCTGCGTGCGCTATGTCCCCTGGCAGAGCCGCGATTTCGGAATGCCAGACATGTTGATTTCAGATTGATCCTATTGCCCCATTGACAAGATGGCAAGATGGCGTTACTTCGCTTGAATTTTCCGCGGGGGATGAAAGTGGCACTTGTTTTGATCCTCTTTGTTTCTTTGGAAGTGGGCAGCGGCGAATCTCTACTAGCGACCTCAAGTTTCGTGTCCTGCTTCATTCGAATTTTGACCATGACAGCCATTGCATTGCGTATGTGCCGATTTTAAGCCGCTCTGTGAACGTCCTCGCTGGCCACTGTGCCTCCCTTTGTGTGTGCATGTGAATGTGAATGCGTTCCTAATAGGAAGACACCCAGTACAAATTTGCCTTTATTAGTCCGGAACCACAACAAGGTAATGTCAAGGGCTGCCGAGAATGCACGCGTCCGTGCTTCTGGGGCGCTGGCCCACTGGGTCAGGTCGATCCCTGTGCGTGAAGCGTCCTTTGCTGCAACAATGCGACCCTGGTGTCACACTTCGTATGAAAGACTTGCGCGAGACCTTGCACTCAGTAGTTTGCTGCACCACCTCGTAGTTTATCAGTTCAGTGGCAGCAGTGTGGTAGTTTGTTGCACCCCTTTATCCTGGAAGGGTGCTGCGTGTAAAGCGTGGTTGATGCAGGCAGGTCAGCGGCACAGAGTCCTTTGCTCGCGCACGCCGTGTCTGTCCTTCCTGCCGAGAGAAAACGGAGGCTTCGTTGCTTTCACATCTGACGCGGATCGATGACGCATGCAAGTTGTTCATTACGTCAGCTACGCGCATCAAACAGTTCCAGTTCCATTGCAGAATGGCAGCCACGCTCGGCACTTGCAACTCAATCTGCTGCCATCGGAATCTTATGTATTGTTTGATTACTGATTCAAATTGGGTGGGTGGGGGTGACGGTTGTGGGTGGCGATGGGATCAGAAGTTTGGAGTGTTTTCATCATCATCATCATCATTGCAAGGACCCGGGGTCACCAGAACCGCACATCGCCGGGCGTCCCATAACTTCTTCGCCTGGCGGCCGAGGAGGGGCGTCTCCTCCCCAGGGGGAATGGGCATGTCCGTCCCTGCGTCCCCACGTCCCCACATTCCCACGTCCCCTCGTCCCCATGCCCCCACGCCCTTACGTCCCCACGAGGCTACAGGCCTGAAGGCACCCCCAAAGGGGTTGGACATCCGCCCCAACGTATCCACATTCCCAAGAGGGCAAGGGCCCACAAGGGGCCCCCCGGGGTGGGGGAGGGGGGGAGACCCGTCCCCCATGGGAGGCGTGGACCAAAAGGGCTCCCCGCTGGGTGAGGGATGTCTGTGCCGCGTCCACACATCCCCACGGGGACCTCAAGGCCCCCCCGCAGGGGGGGCCGGGGAACGGGGATACTATTTGGGGCCGGGCACTAAGCAATTATTGAATTTTTATGGCATTCGATTTAATTCATTTCACCAAAGAAAAATTCACATCAATTTTTTACTGAACAGAAGATCAATTGACAATGATATAAGCTGGACAATACCCCAATAGCTCATCAAACTATTGTTCCCTTGCCACAATATCATAGTATTAGAAGACCGCGTTGGAGCCTTGCACTGAAGTGATACGTTCAAATCCTTGCGCATGTGCAAATGATTGCAAAAGTACGGTACGGTTGCCCAAAGCCGAGTGAGCTAGTTAGCAAAATCACGTTGAGTTGCGTGGAGGATACTTTATTTACTGTTTGCGATTTGATGAGTACTGGAACAGAAGTACATTTCCGGGGAGATCTGACCTCTTCTTGCATGAATATAGGGAGATCCGTGCTTTTCAGAAAGGCATGGACGTGCAAATCCCGAAAGGTCCTTTCAATGCCTTGTTAGGAAAATAGCAGGTGGATTTCGTAAGCAAGTACAATTCCAAAATATGCCATATTGACGCTGCAAGAGGCCACTCAGGCGTATGTGATGAGATTCTTTCATGTTATTGTTGTTCTTCTTTGGTCATTTAGTCACTTAATTCTCATACCTCAGGATGGACTTGTGACTAACTCAGGAGGGCTGACTCAGCTGAGTTGACTTGATACACGTGGAGAAGCTGTCCGATAAGAAAAAGATAAAAAATAGACATTAAACATGAACAACAAGCGGTAATTGCACCACTCCTAATGGGGAGAATCTGACAAGACTTTAGAAAGCAGGTCCACTGCATGGATTGCACCCATCATACGCGAGAATGATTAGTAAAGGATACAATGTGTTGTGCCACCCTGCCTTTTGAGGTCGCATTAAATAACGTTTGGTATGTCTGATGGGAGCGTGTCTGCTCGTACTGTAGATGCAAAAATTGAAAGACAGTACGGGGCTCTATATTTGATTTGGGTAAAAGTGCATTGATGTTGCTGCCTGAAGTTTTTCTGAAATTTCGGCAGAATGGAGTATTTGCTAATACGCACAAAAGAGGGCTCTTGAATGCCGTTAGCCTCGAAAGGCAGCCGGGATATGTGGACAGGTGTTCAGTGCATATGGCACTGATGACAGTAATTGTGATGATCCCGGAGGCGTTGTACATGATAGGCTTGTTATTTACGTTTACGTTTACATTTTCACGTTTATGTTTTCACGCGTTAAAGCGTAAATTTGCAAAAGAGGCCGTTTTACGCAGCTGTTTTATGCTTTCAAGGTTCGTTGTGACATTCTGGTTGCACGACGGAATTGTGTACAGTGATCAGTACTCCGCTCCTTTGAGTGCGCGCAACACATCGTCCACTTTCCACTCGTCAACAACCACGATGGAGTGGAACAGAATTCGTTTTCTTCCCATTCCAATGCGTCCGGATGCCATTCCCCGGAGTCCCTAAGGCTGAATGTACTGTCCTTATGTACACGGGGCTGCTTTCACGTTGTATTTACGTTTTTTTACGCGCTTTCTGCGCGCAAAAACATTGAATATACTTTTGCGCATAAAAACGTAAATACGATATGTGTTTACGCCATAAATAACAAGGCTGTTACATGCAGAACTTGTATTCATTACTGCTACGCTTACCCCGGTGGAGTAGAAAATAACAAAAATTAAGACAAAGTAACATGGAATTTTTACAAAGAAAGGCAAAATACGCATTGACATTCACTTAGTAACTTACCATGGTCATTTAGTGCATTTGGAAAGCTATCTCGAAGCAACCTGGTCGGTTAGGGGCCCTCCTTATGTCAAAATGGTGGTGCCACTGCGCGAAAAGTCGCAGGAACAACTGCGATCACGCACGCGCACTTGCGCATGTATGCAAACCCAATGCACAAGCTCTAAGGCACAAGAAACCGGTGCTATTTGTGCAGAGGGAGGTGCGGCCCCAAAATGAGCAGCTCACGTAATTCTCACAGCCGGACGGGTGGACCTTCCCAACGCTAACCAACATATTGACTATAGACTACACGGTTTCCCAGTGCACATGGTTGAAATTGCGTCAATGTGTGCACCAACTGCAGCTGTGCGGTTTTGGGACCACATTTGCCGGAAGTACACAGTTGGATTTTGAGCACATCGTGTCAAGACTATGTCATCTGACCTGTTTTTCCTAGTTGCGGGCCACTGTTTGTGACCTGTTTTCCTAGTGGCCTCAGTGCCGGATGGGCGTGTCGTTCGAAGTGTGCCAGAAATGCTCCGAGATTCAATGCAGTTTGGTTCTCGCACAAGTGCAGCATGTATCTGTGCTGAGCTTTTACTGCAGTTCTCCCTTACGTAATGAAGCGCTTTTGACAAGCTGATTCGGATACCTGCTTTGGCAATGCGTCGGCGTGGCTCGTCTGCAGCCGAAGCAGAGCGTTGCGTGGAAAACGAAGCTGCGGTTGTATGTCTGATATTTGATATCTGGCGACAAAACTGACGAGAATTCCTTCATCTCGCAGGCGGCTCCATCCATCGGTCCTTTCAAGCCCACCCAAAATGCCCACTGCAGCGATGTACTGCGTAGTATGCACTGTGGTATGTTTCGTTTTGTAAACCAAATATTGCACAGCAGCTGCGAGTTTCAGGGACCCAAGCCCATTTGGTACATACTCGCAGAAGGTGATGCACTGCGAGGTGTTGCATGGAATGCAATGGCTGCTGTGCATGCCGGTGAAAATTAATATTTGGAGTAAATTCACCCAGAGAAACTAAAGCAGGTTTTCGAAGAACGGGAATGGAGATTGCGAATGAGGGACTTGTGAGCACGCTGACGTAACAGTATTCGCCATCATCATCGATAACACCGAATTCCTTGGACTACACGCTGCAATGTGAAGCTTACCTTTGTGCATAGTCTTCTATGGCAGAAGTAAAGACCAAGAGAGGTGCTTTTGGAGAAGCATTTCTTTGTGTTCGGATATCCACACAGTCCTAAGAACACCAAAGAAACGAAAAGACGTCCATAGGTCCACTGCCCACATGCACTGGACTGCCTGTTACATTGCCCGTCCAGATGCCGGCCAATGTCTCGAAGACTTATGCCCAGAAAGTCTCTCATGTAAAATCCATTAAATGCAAGAAGAGACTTTGTGGTGCACATGTTAGCCCTCCGTCCAAAAGCCCTCGTACGTTTGCCCACCGCTGCGATGTCCACGTAGTCGGAGTGGCCGACGCTTGGGGAGGAGCTCATCGACCCGGCACT